GATTTGACAAACATTTGTGGTGAAAGTATAGGGAAGTCTAAAATTGTTTTTCTCAATTATTTGGGTGTCACTTATGTATGTTGAGCAACTTTCCTAAAGGTTAGTTGATTTTAAGATAAAATCTAACAATATATTTATTTATTTTTATTTGTTTTTAGGAATCAAATTATTAGGTATTAAAGAATTATAATTCACCCACAATACACAATCAACTTAATTAAATATCTTTAATAATATATATATATATATATATATATATATATATATATATTACCTCAAACAAAAGGTAATTATGATATACAAAAAACTCTTTTTTCGAACATTAGACGTAACTGCATACCTACCAAGTAATTGTGAATTCCTTAAAAAAAATTCATTGATGAGTTCACTACTATATAAGAGACTTTAAATGTCAAGTAAAATGGATATTTTATGTTAGTTCTAAACCCTTAATAGATTTCAAAGACATATATATAGCATGTGTCTCTTCTATGTCGGGTGTCAACATCCCTTATAATATGAATATCAAATGTGATGTTTTGATACTTATATTCTATTTTGAGTGTTGCTTAATTTGACAAAGAATAACACTCGTTATAGAATATAACACATTTTATGTCAAGTGTAACTTCATCTAACATATATAAAATATGCACTTCCATTTTTTTTAAATTGTAAACAGAAAACAATATCCAAATAGGTCAATATAATATAAGACTAACTAGTAACAATCCTATATAATACGTTATATATCAAGTTATATATATAATTTATGGCTAAAGTAACCCAAATATAATAGTATATGTCATAAACTATTAACCAATTTACATTATGCTAAAGTAGACAATGTTAACTAAGTAGAATTAATGTCATAACCAATTTAAACTTCACACATAATGTAAATAATAATACATCAAATCTAAAGTAAACATGTAACAAGAAAAAAACTAAACATGTTCATAAATAACCAAACAAAGCATTGTTCATAGAAATTCTAAAAGGCAAGTTGTCCATCTAGTGCGGATGTCTTCCAACTCTTCATTGATAAATGGAGTGGAATTTTTGAATATCTACAAATTAAAAATAGAGATAAATTAAACACTAGTCAATGAATAAATATAATAAAATGAGAATTAAAGTAAGTAAATTAATTTAGACACATATCACCTCCTTCCATGAATACATAATATTTTCGGAGATAATGGTGAGCATGTGCTTTATCACATAGTAACCACACTCATAGTTACCTAGTTGATGTGAACACTACAATTTAAATATAAACAATTAGAATATATTTTAATTTGCAATTGAATAATAGGTTGGCATTTAACTTACTTTTGGGGCAATATATTGAATCTTCTTTCGATATACTTGAGGAAAACCTCGCAAGCTCATGCTAATATCCAAAGCTCTATGATAATGAATGATAATTCAAATTTATTAGAGAAGGAAATTATCATATTTAAAATATATTAAAAAAATATATTCAAATTAGATACTTACGAGTCAATAATATGTCTAATGGGCAACTCAGTAGTTTTCTTGTGTAATGAACACAAGAGAACCACTAGAAATTGTCGAGGAATAATAACCAATAACTGTCAATGACCCCTGTATTTTGTAATAGTATTAGTAACAACTTACTTGCTTCAAATTTCAAATAAAATTAAAATTTGCACTTACAAATTCAAGTAAGGTGCTATGTAAACCTCTTTGCCTCCTAGCCAAAATCGATCTATTAAATATTGTTTCACTTCAGTGTCTTTATTCCCAACACATTGAATGGCAATAGGGTCGACAAATCCATAAATTAATGCATTCTTCTTCTCAACGCAAATGTGATGTAGATACCTTAAATTATGAAAGTAAACTTATATTAGGAAAATAATTGGATATATTATTGTCAGAAACATACAAATAATACTTACAATATCCATAGTTGCAATACTGATAGGGAAAGCAAGTCATCACCAGAATGAATATCACAAACATCATTGTCGCATATAAATAAGAGGGTAGGCTCATTCCTGCCTAAGACTTCGGAAGGTATGCTTAAGGTATGCTTATCTCTATTCCACACTTCTTGATAGCTAGTGCTATTACAGTCAAACATTGGAGAGGAGAAAGATGAATAGGTTCTACATCTATAGCAACAACTTGTTTCCCCTTATCAAAATCACCCTAAACAACAATAAAATCAAATTAATAAGTTAATAAACATAATTAATATATTTTAAAGCAATTAAAGTCAAACAATAATTACCTTTGCTTCATGCACCCTAGTTAGTTGGCTCGGCCATCGGAGGTAGCAAGGGCTTGACCCAATGTCTGAACCTTTACTGTGGGCACAGGAATTTGAGCGTTATGCTCTCGAATATCTATAATCACCACTCGTACCATATCATCAGGAATCGTCAGGTTGTATATGGTTGACCTCAAAGTGTGAACCTTACCTATGGCCACCAATTGTTGTGGAGGGCCCTCAACATATAACTCCACCTCTAGTAGGATATCATCACTAGCATCCTCCCATAATGCACCAGAGGTAGCATAACTACCCTTTGTGCTAACACAAATAGGTGAAATCTCTGGAGGTGGAGGAGTGGCCTGTGAAGACTTTGTGGTCACACCCATCAATGCAAACTCTGCCCTAATGATCGCCAATAGTTTCGCTCTCATCTCTAGATACAATTCTGCTCGAACTTCAGCTTTCATGCATTCCCAAGTAATATCACTAATGTGTGATCTAGTGATCCACTTCACCGGATGGAATAATTTAAAATATTTTACTATTATCAAAGAAAAAATTGAAGTATGTAAAAAAAAAAAAAAAAACCTCTAAATAACATATATAACGACTTGCACACTTTTTTTTAAAAACAAACAAAAATTTACGTGTACAATTAATAGCTAGAGAGGGTGAAAGGCAACATATTCAATGTGGAGGCTTTAAGTAAATGTTTAAAAAAGGCTGTATTCCTTGCTTACCTGTTCTAAATGGTAGAGCACATGGCGGGGTCTTTGTTGCAGCCGTTTCAGAATATTCCTAATTAAATGAATGGCCAGTTGGAGGTAGGAGACGAAACTAGCTATATATTTTTAAATCTATCCATATTTTTTTTTTCTTCCTTTTAAATAATTTTTAGGTATTATATTCTATAAATTTTGAGGGTATAAGGAAGCTTGCATATATATATATATATAGCTTTCGTGGTTCAGTGTTCTGATTTTCTTCTATCCTAGGGTTTATATGTATGTCATGTTCGTTGTTTGCCTTTAGCTTGTCAATTAAGAAATGATACGACAGACTCAAAAGGAGACTAATGTTCCAGGGTATCAGACATAACAAATTAATAGAATATGCATACAACATTCCTGTTTGCTAATATAAATATTCTTTTAATTTTTATTTTTTTTTAAGTGAGAAAGATTACGATGACGGTAACAAAAATTAAATCTGAGTCCCCAATTATCCTATTAATTTTAACAACATAAATATATATATACAAGACAAAAGCTATCATGGCAGCAATATGTGAAGGAAAAACACAGGCAAATTAGCAAATAACACATCCATGACCAATAAAGAGAATTAATCAAATCTAGCAAAGAGATCAAGTGGAAAGATCGATATCCGTATCTAAAGTGTATCTCCATGTAACATAATGGCCAACACTATGTTGGTTCTGTTTTTTTGTCGACATAATTTTTTTCTTAAATAATTATGTTGTTAAGACTGAAAATGTTCAAATGAAAAAACGCTTCTTTGTAGGCTACTGGATTTTACATAGGATTTACTAATATATATGTATAATATAGTTATGTGTGTGTAATGTTGCGTGTATAATATTTGATCTAGATAATGTATGTATAATGATTTATTTAGTAAAAACTATAACGGTGTAATATAGTTAGATAGATAATTTTGTCTTTTAACTGTAATAAAATTTAATTATTTTTTATGTTCATATGCATGTTAAAACATTTGTTGAGACGAGAAATTAGTTATCGGCTCCCACGAAGGATACCTTGAATTCACAAAAAGAATCGTAACTTTTTACATGGTTTCTACTGTACCATGCATTTAGAAGTTAACTACTATTATTATTATTATTAAAATATTTAGTAACTAAAAACAATGTTTATTAATTGATGGAACAATTTTTATTTATTTTTGACATGACTGCATTTTCTTTAATGTTCTGCGCTACTGTGTAAACTATTGTCCAGTCACGATCTAATCCAATATCTATTAGATAATTTGTGTTATATATATTATTTGGGATTAATTAATTTTTTTTTGCATGAGTCACACAATTCTTTTATGTTTAATATTAAATGGAGTACTGCTACCCACGAATCTTCGTTTTTCAATGTTCTACCGAAAGGACTCTTTTCTAATTTTCATTTATCACCTATCCTACTTATTTCAAACCATTTGAAAAATTGCTCGTCCAGCCATTGTCACCATGAATGAAATCATCTATCTCAATTAATTAACAGTAACACCTTATATCTTTGGTTTTACGATGTAGCTGGTCCAAAAATAATACATGATTAAAGATTGAACAAAAAATTAATCTAAAGGACATTCTTATAATTTAAATTAAAAATATATTATAATTTAAATTTAGTATAATCTTAAATACATTATACATACATATATATGTGTGCGAATTATGAGCTCACTCACAAAAGTCTTACCTGGTAGAATATTTACAAAAACTGAACTACTTAAACATGTTGACCAACCTGGTTTACTTTGACTGCTATACTAACAAAGCCTTTTTCACCTACAACATCACCAATAACATCATCAAAAGTGCTAATTTTTCTCTCCCTTGTATTCATTTGTTGAAACTTAATTTCATTTATTTTATTAGTTAGCAATATCATCCACATGTTTTTCCTACATTATATTTAGTCAGAATATCTCTCCTTTCATATCTTATTTACTGTGCTTGCAGCCTGTTTAGCCCATAATTTCCTTGAAAAATGGCACAACATCATCTAAGTTTCTCTTTTCATAAACAAATTAAAACATAAATTATGGACTCAAGTTATGGTCGATCATGTTGACAATGATTGTATAATACAGGGATTATTTGTCACTGATCATGCTGTGTATAACCTGAGGAGACAAGCTACATAGAAGAACACAAAGAGAAGGCAACAAGGAGAATGCTGTAGACAAAAATACCAGTCAAACATAATAATTAACCAACATAGACAAAGGAACCAAGCAGAGACCCTTTTTCTTCAAGTCTGTGTTGCACTCCTTGTTGTTTTCATTAAAATTTATGTCACAATCATCGGTCTGTAGCTTTGGATAATTCTCTGGTTTAAACCCCTTACCCTGCAAATTATCACCATCATAAACCACATAACTTGCTTATGATAATTATAAGGACACAATCCATTCTGATTATAAAAAAAAATCATAAATTTACCCCAGAAGTAGAGCCGTCTATTTGATCATCAATCTTGGAAACTTTCAAGTCCCCTAACTGCAGATATTGTAAAAGAGGGAAAGACACAACAGATCAGTTCATTGTGAATGATGAAAAATCAAAAAAGAAAAATCAAATCATTTTTTTTTACGGTTGCGAAGTTCCAACATAAAACCTTCTACATACTATCCAAAACCTCCACTATTCATATGCTATTTTTATAATTGTATATTGTATATACCTTGGGACTGTTGACAGGGGAGCTAGCAGTGTCCTCCAAAGAGTCATCATCTGAAATCTGTTGGGTTCTTGTTTTCTTGAAACAAAGTTTTCTCTTTAAGACATTTGGTGAGTCCCTAACTCCAAAAGCAGAGTTGGAAACAAGGTAATCATTGTGATCATGTGAGAGCTTCCATGCAGCAGAAGAAGCAGCATCTGAGACCAAAGATGAACCACCTAAACTGGAATAATAACTTTGCTGCTCCATGCCAAGGGAGAATTCTTCGAAGTAAGAAGTCCACCCACTTTCCTCGTTGGCACTGCCAGACACTGTTTTTTCCATAGAAGGATTCAGAGAATGCTCCATCAATAGAGAGTGTGTGTGTGTCTTTTGTTTTGTTTGTCAGCGGTTGAGAGACTTCTTCTCTATGGGGATTTATAGGTATGAGTTTGAGAGGTGCGTAATAGTTTTCACATCGGAAAACTAAATCAATTTTATATAACTTTTTCTAATAATTAGTATAAAAATCAATAAACATTTTTCATCGAACAACGATATAAAGAACTGTTATGTTAATTAAAAGTGTACATAATAATTATCGCACAATTTATATATATATTTTAATATTTTTTTATTTAATAATTTATATTTTACATCAAATTTTAATAATCAATTCATTGAATTTAAAGTTCTTAATGTATAAATTATATAATTTTTTTTAAAATTATAAATTATTTAATACTTTATTTTATTAATTTAAATCAATATATAAAATAATTTTATAATTATTTATTAATTTAAATTAATGAAATGAAGTACCAAATAATTTTTAAATTTTTAAAAAAAATTTAGACTTATCTATAGATTAAGAATTTTTAATTTAACGGTTAAATCATTGAAATTTAATATAAAATATGAGTAATTTAACGAAGTAGGTCTAAATAAACTTATCCCTGAAATAAACGAATTTTTTCTCATTTTTAATAAGAATTTTACTTTGTTAATAATAAAAGTTTACAATCAATCATTTCATCGAAAAGTGAAATTCTAATGCCATTGGTGAGGAGTATATAATTTTTTTTTATAACTAAGTTTATTAGTATGAATATTTATTAATTTTGTTGACAACTAATCTTCGTCTGAGAATTTGATTGACTATGTGTAATGAGATATTTCCTCTCTATTTGAAATAGAAACAGACAAGGCCTTAGATGATTTGAGTTTAACCTACAACAAAACTATTAAATTTGATTTTAGCCTATTAATTTATTACAAATTTATTTTTAAAGTCTAACTTGTTTAAATATTTAATTTGACTTTTTTATGTTTCAAAGATGGTAGATAAAGGATGATATTCTCATGATAATCGAGCAGGGAACCAATGGTATGTTGTGAATTTTCAGACAAAATATCACTATCTACTTAGAGGTTAATCTAATTTGACCCAAGATTTTACTTGTCAAATCGAGGGCCAGTAAAGACTCACTAGAAAAATTTTTCCTTTAACATTAAGGAGTCTTTTTGAATAGATATGTTTACCAAAATAGGATTCTATGGTCTAATTTAACTTAAAAAAAACTTATTTACATGACTTATTTTATACAAGGTTTATAAATAGACCAATAAATTTAAATAGACTAATAAAGTTAAGTAGACTAATAGGTATAAGTATTAAATATAACAAGTTTAATTGCGTTTTTAATATCTCTAGTATTACGAATGTATAATTTTGTTGTTTAAGGTTTTAATTAAGCAATTTTACTCCATCAAGTATTTGTACGATTATTGTCCTCAATGTTTCAATTAAACAATTTTAACTTTAATTATGTAAGTATCGCAATTGTACAATTTAAGTCTTTCAAGTATCACAAGTTTATAACTTTGTACCTATATAAGTTACATGGATTATAATTTTCATTCATATATTAAAGAATAAATATTCATTATTATTCCTAAAATTACTAATATATGTAACTTAAATAGGTAAAACTTTGTATAATTATGATACTTAAGGGACTAAAATCACATAATTATAATACTTAGATACTAAAGTTGCTCAATTAAAAATTAAGAAATCAAAATTGCACGATTCTGATACTGGATGACTAAAATTACTCGACTAAAATTTGAAAGACTAAAATCACACAACTATTATACTTAAAGGATTACAAATGTATTTAAGTTAATATAATATTATCTTTATACTTATAGAAGACATTTTTTTTTACTTTATTGTTTTTATAAGATTCTATATTTTTATTTTACCAAAACTCAGAATTCAACCATCTTTAAAAGGAATCCAATACCACTAATTACAACTAAATTAGTAATTATATATAAGAAACTGCATACAAATATTATATACTTATAACCCAACAAATTATGTATAAAAAGATGGAGAAAAAGGAAGCCATAATCTAAGAATCTTGGGGTGGGCCAGGAATACAATGAGCACTTAAATTAATTGTTGCTGAGAGCCTGCAATGAAAAAAACAGAAGAGAGTAAAGAACGTGCAACGAATAAATAATGTGTCGATCGAGAAGGACGTTGACCTTTGTGCTGCCAAAAAAATTAATTTGATTTTGGAATGGGAGGCCATATATTTTCGTTATCATAGTTAATCTTTCAACCGAATACATTTAATGATAAGAGAAAACCAAGTATTAAAATTGGACTACTTGGCCGAAACACACTCGCTCTGTCTCAACTACACAATATTCGATTTTATGTTCGTAGCAGTGAGCAATTTTAAGTCCATAGCAGTGAATGTAATTGAAGCCTCTGACCTCTGAACTCAAAATTTACTCCTAAGTTACAAGACATTGTGTGAACTCGATAAAACCTCTTTAAGTGCAACGTCTTATATGTTGTTTTCGTATTAATTTGAGTTTCATCTCTATAAATTATATAACAAAAATTGATGTCATTTATCTAGTAAATTTTCAATTTTAACTGTATTAGCAATAGGACTGTGTTTATGAGATTAGTATTTGATTAGCTCCAATTCATACACATTCTGAAGTTTTTCAATCAAACATTAGAATTTTACTGTCATGTGTTGAATTTGATTTTATATATATATATATATATATATATGAACGATTTATGTAATATCTTAAAATTGAAAATTATAAATTATTATGTATTTATAAAGTATAATTTTTATTGATCATATATTATTTTAATATTGATCAAAATTGACTTTAAAAATATCAAAATAATCCTTATATTTTAAAATTAAAAAATTTAATTATTAAAACAATTATCATGTCTCAAGATAGAACTTAATAGGTTAAGAGAGTTAATATTAATGTATGTAAGAAAGAGTGATTTTATTTAGAGTAATATCACAGATAATTGAATTATTATACCTTAATGTTATCCTTTATCACACTATAACTTTATTCTATTTTTATTGGTTGTGGTGATTATTCACTTAGTCTTTTTGTTTTGTACATAAGTCCTTACATTTCTTGGCTACTCTTCCATGCTTTACTGTGACAAACTTTTTTCTAAAAAAATTTAGAAATATTTCATCAAAAATTTTACCCCTAGTTATACCTTTAGCTGTCACATTTATTATTGTTATTGAAATTAACAAAGTCAGAAACTAAACGTAGGTTTGCTAACAAGTGTTCCGACTTGTTTTTTCAATCTCGATCAATCAAAGTCCAATTCATTTAGTGAGAAAACGTTAAAAATGGGACCATTTAGATTCTCGTGGTGGTTGAATTGAGAAATTTGTTTTCTGAGGTATGCAGTGAAGACTCATTAATCACTATAGGCTGTTTTATAAAGTCTTTTTTTTTTTTAATTGTGCATGTATACTTAATGAAAAGTGCTAATTCAAACACTTGGTATAACTTTTTATAACAAAAAATTACTTATATCAAAAAGGTGAACAGATATTATTATTACTTCACACTTATAATCTAATATGTTAAAAAAAAATCTCTCAAATTTTAATACAATGTTAAATATGAGTAAAAAGAGATTTTAATTACAAAGATCTTTATTTTAGAAGATGAGAGAGATTATAATAGAAGTAAATGAATAGAAGAGAAGTGAAAATTTTTAGTTACAAGTATGTCTTAAGCAAAGAATTTTTTTATAAAAAAAATTAGTTATCAACAAAGTAAAAGATATTATTTCTTCATGCTTATAACATGTTAATCAAACAAAATATCTTCTAATATTAGTAGGAAGCCAAAATTAAGTGAAAAGAGATTTAATCGCAAATATTTTTGTAATTTTTATTGAATGGATGTAAGAAATATTTATGAAGATAAGTAAATAAAAGAAAGAGAGAGAGAGATTTTAATGGAAGTACTTAAATCAGATAAGAGAAGAAAAAGATCTTAATTTTGAGGATCTCTTAAATAAGAAAGTATTTAATAGTAAAAATTAGTTATTGACAAAGAAAAAAGATATTATTACTTCACACTTATAACATGTTAAAAAAAATCTCTCCCAATATTAATAAGATTCCAAAATTGAGTGTAATGAGATAATTACAATTATTCTTATAATTTTTATTGAAAAGATGAGAAAAACATTAATGAAGATAAGTAAATAAGAGAAAGGGAGGGAAAGATTTAATTACAAGGATCTTTTAAGCAAGTAAAATCTTTTTTTCATAGCAAAAAAATAATTATTGACAAAAAAGATAGACTAAATTATTATTTTAGTTAACCCCAGGCGTGTGGTTTAGCGGTAGGAGTTGATTCACGCTTAAGCAAGATCAGGGGTTCGAATCCTACCTTGTGTATGCAGTCGCGTTAAATCTTGGGACCATCTATCCCACCCTTTGAGGTGCCTCCAACGTTGCGAGGAGATTAGTTATTGTTATCCGCGGTAGATACTTAAGGGATGAACCTAAAAAAATTATTATTTTGGTCACTTTATTTATTTTTATGATTCAATTTAGTCCTACTATTTTTAAATTATTCAATTTAGTCTCACTTTTATTTAAATAGTGTTCACATGTGATTTTTTTTAAAATTAAATTAAACGATGTTATTAGACCTCATTTGTGGTTTATGGTATGTTGATGTAGCTTTAGGTTGGTCCTTGCCATTGGTCTCCTTTAAGGTCCTTTTGTTCCTATAAATACCTTGTTCTTCCCCAACTTTGTATTTGTAAGATTTTTGTCATTGAATCTAGTGTAAGAATGTCCCACTCCTCATGCACTTTTCGTCCAATTTCGTCGAGTCACCTCAACTTAGTCATGGCCTCACACTCTTTTCCTATCGATGGAAATGGAACATTTGGTCCCACTTGCCAATGTGGGAATGTGACTAATCGAGTTGCGAATTGCATTCTTGCCCTGCAAATCTTGAGATGAAGTATTGGAGATGCCCTAACTACAAGGTTTGACGTTCAATATATTATGTGGTGCAA